GAGTAGTGGGTGGGACCCATAGCTGAGGGTGGTACCAGACTCTCTGCCCAGCTCCAGGCAACAGAGACACAGAAGGAAAGGCGGTGACAAGACAAGGAGAGAAAAAAAAAAAAAAAAAAAAAAGGGAATCCTGACATGACCTAAAGTGGAAGTGCAGTTCTTGTGCTCAAAATCTACAATCTTTATCTTCTGGCAAATACAAATTATTTATGAGTTGTGACATAATAATTAACACATTCTTGAAAAAATATTCATAAACTGTGGCTTCCTGCTGAATTGGCCCAAATGACCAAAGCTAGTTTTTGCTGCACATTTTGAAACATTCTGCTGTTATAAAAACACACTGTGACGTGACAGATTTAACATAAACGTTTCATGCCTTATGAAAACTGTGGAGCGCAGTCAAACCAAACTCAAATTCTATGTTTTGAATGATTCACTTCAGTGTCCTTTGTCTGTGGCAGTTGGCTCCTTTAAAGGTGCATTGTGTAAATTTTTCTGGTGGAAGGTCCGTCAAATGCTTTTTTTTATTGCTTTGTCTAGAATGTTTCACAGTACATTAAAGCTTTCTTTCTCCATGGAGACCAAATCAGGCCAAGTTACAGGTCAGATCTGTGGAGAGGCGATTCCACTCACAGTCAGAATGCCTGTTTTTCTAGATATATTTGAGCTATAAAACCACCTATGTTTGAATAAATGAAAGGCAGAACTGTTTAATGTCACACTGTGGAACATTCCAGGCAGAGGAATAACATATCTATAGAAACAAATTAGTTAGTTTGAATATTGATCCTTCTTATTTATCTTATGTTTGAGAGGTTTTTAGATCTAAAAAAATATAATATTGTGATTAATTGATCTCAGTGACATTTACTGATAAAACATGCATGCAGCAGGGGGCTCTGGAGCTAAGACTGGACCTTCTGTCTGCAGCTTCTCACACTCTTCTGCTGTTATGTCCTCTGCATTGTAGAGCTGCACCTCCTCTGGATTTGGCTCCTCTGCAGCTTGGAAGTGATTCTGGACCTCCATTAGTGTCACTGTCCTCTGTTGTTTGGTCCTCTTGTGTTTGGGGCTTAGGTGGACTGAGTTCTCCCTCTGAGCTGAGGTCCAGATGTTCTTGAGTCCGGTCATTTTCAGGAGATTTGTTGTCAGTTGAGCTGTTGTCAAACAAATTTAGGATCTCCTCCTCCTCAGGACTTTGTTGTTTCAGTCCAGTTTCTCCTTATGTTGGACTCGCTACCTCCTCTGGAGTCTCTAGAGTATCTGACTCCTCTTGGTCTTGGATCTTGGTTTGAGTTTCCAGGTTGCTTGAAAACAAATTAAGATAAGATAAGATAAGATAATCCTTTATTGTCTCCCATGGGACAAATTTGTCTTGGGACAGGGGGTAACATGTTTTATCAAAAAACAGGACAACACAACACAAAGCAGCACATAAACAAACACCATAAAACAAAGTAAATATGAGACCAATATGACCACGAGTGATGCACCAACAGGACCCTTAAATTATCCTTAACAGGCAAACCCTTGCATTCTTCTGTTCTATTAATTATTGCACATTCCCTAAGCCTATGTGCAGTTTTAGTTATAATTATTGCACATTCCCTAAGCCTATGTGCAGTTTTAGTTATAATTATTGCGCATTCCCTAAGCCTATGTGCAGTTTTAGTTATAATTATTGCACATTCCCTAAGCCTATGTGCAGTTTTAGTTATAATTATTGCACATTCCCTAAGCCTATGTGCAGTTTTAGTTATAATTATTGCACATTCCCTAAGCCTATGTGCAGTTTTAGTTATAATTATTGCACATTCCCTAAGCCTATGTTAAATTATTTCTTATTAAATTACAGTGATAATACTAGTTTTGTCCTGGTGTAGCCAACTGTGCACTTGTGTTCCTGTCATGTCCCAGTCCCAACACACTTTAGTTACTTCAAGAGCCCATATGACACAATTTTCTAATCCATGTTCTAATGTAGTTTCCTCATCAAAAACAGACCTGGAATTGTGTTTTGTTTCGTTCACACATGTTTAACACACAAACCCTTCACATTTAGTTTTTCTCTCAAATGGAAAACATTCTGTTCCACCATGTGATGTCATGCAGCAATACAGGAAGTGCCGGATTGTGTTTTTAAACTCCACATACCTTCACTTGGACCTTTTGGAAGATTTCAGCCCTGGAACTGACAGTTTCTACTGAAAAAAATGTAAAAGGAGCTCATAAAGGAGGTGTTGGGAAGGAGACCCAAACTTGTGACCTTGGAAAGGTCTGTATTTCGGACTGATTCGGGTATCTTAAATCACCCCAGGTTCTCCAGCCAGGACAACTAACAGGACACCAGAACACACTTAACCACTCTTTATTGATGTATGGTTCAAGGTTGATTCATGGTTGCTATAAAAACAGAAATAAAATACTATGAGTAATGAAGAATTTAAGCAATTATATAAATGTGCAACAATAATTATGACATTAATTATATGAATATTTCAATAAATGAATACAAATATAAACAAGTAAAATGCAAAGAAAGTCCTAAATAAACCTATTTACAATGATACAATGTAAAACACAGACAACGGCCTGATAATGTTTCTCGTTAAAAACTGAAAATTCCGATGGCTCCTGAACGCATCATTGGCGCAGCTTACGCAACCAAGATGCGATATACTGGTATGACAAATCTGGCATATTACGGATACGGAGAAAGTGGATTAACAGAAATGACACATCATAATGAAATTACTGAAGTTCTCATGGACGCATGAACATGACAAATGAAAACAAAAGAAAAGTCCGAGAATGATAGCGGAACAACTGTCGCCAACGAGAAATACCTGTATACTGACACGGAAAGAGAGTTGCGCTGGTGGATAGTAGATTTTGATTGATGGAAGTTGGGATGAGAGCCCTGATTGGCTGGAATGGTTGCGGGGCTGTTGCTGAGGCACGTGGTTTCCACCCGTCGCTGGGACCAAATGTCCAAACAATAATGAAAATTAGGGGTGTCAAATTATCGCGTTAATTGCGATTAATTAATTACAGTCATATTTAGCGCGTTATGTTTTTTAATCGCGTTAATCTCATTTTTAATCTCTAACTTTACAGTTTCTGTATGCGAGTTGCTTTATTATAAAATCTGTTTTTATGTGTTGTTGGGACAACACACACACAAAAAACACATTAATTATTTTTTTATTTCGCGCGCAGTAAGAGCGATGTAAACGTCATGTTAACGTTTGCGGCGTTAGTCGCACAATGGACGAGGTCGAAAAGCCAGTAGAACAGAGTCAGCAGTGCACAGGTAAAAACACATTCGTGTCTTGGAAATTATTCTCCTGACGTGAAATATAAAAGAAAATAACAAATATAAAATCGCCTACAACTTAAATGTCACTGGTGAAAACAACCTGCATAGACTCATGATGTCTGCACTACTGTCCTATAGTGACCTGCCACATGAGGGGACACGCACACAAACACACACAAACACACACAAACACACACACACAAACACACACAAACACACACACAACACAAACACACACCTTCATCATCGTCATTAACCTGAGAACACGCGGACCACGTTTCTTTCCGTAGTTTCTGCGCGGACACCGACGTGCTCCCGTGCGCCGCGTACGTTTTCTCGCGTACGCTGCGTAAACCGCGCTTCCTCCTGTGCGCCTCTAAACCAGAACTAACACCAAGACTAAAACAGGGACTAACCCAGTCCAGGACTAAACCAGGACTAAACCAGGACTAAAACCAGAACTAAAACCAGTGATCTCATATATAAAACATTTCTCTATCAATAATATTTTTAATATGGTTAAGGAAAGACTGGACTTTTTATTGTCTTTAAGTAGACAAAAGTTATTATGTTCAGATTTCCTCGTCTTTGCTACTTTACAGCAAACAGTTTCTTATTCATGGAGACTTGGGCTCAACAGTCACTTTGGAGAGATTTGTTAAACAATAAATGACTTTATAAAGTCACTTTTTTTTGTTCTATATCAGTCTTCTGATCTGCCACAATAATGTAATAATGAATTTAAATGAAAATACCTCAACTTGAAGGCTTTTCTCAGCATTTTTTAGGTGAGATTAAAAAGAGATTAATTAGATTAATTAATTACAGATCATAATTAATTAATCTCTCAATTTTTTTATCGCATGACAGCACGAATGAAAATATTCATATAACGAATGAACTACTAACGAACAAATAATAAAAACAATCACAGCACACTAAATACGCTATATACAATAAGACCATTGTTAAAAGAGCTGTTAACTTGAAAACTACCGCTTCATGACATCACAAGACGGAACAGAGCATTTTGAAATTTGGAGATGTAAACAGACTAATAATAAAGGGTTAACTGAATATGTGTGAATGAAACAAAGTATAACTCCAGGTCTGTTTCTGAAATGGTAACAACATTATAGCATGACTTAAAGCTCACAAGAGTAAATTTTGTGTAATATTGGACCTTTAATGAGAATGTTATTATCTGATCCCTACTTTCTTAACTAGTATACCGTCTATAATTGTAACTTAGATCTTCTGAACATCCAAGTTTAGTCTAATTTTAGTCAGACTCCTCTGGGCTCGACTGGCTCAGCTCTTTGTTTACATCTCGAGAGGAGAAACCCCAAAGCAGCAGCTGGTCCGTAGCAGCGTGTGTCGAGTGCGCTGCGTGAGGGGGCCGACCTCTGCGGAACCCGGCCCCTCTTACCCGACCTTTTAAAGCAAAATGGGACGAGTCTGTTGAATGGGCCAGCTAGAGTGGACGTCCCAGCTCAGTGTGTGGGGCAAGGGAATCAGACTCGACCCAGAAAGACGCTGTAAAGTCCCGGCATATGAACGCATTTGCTCGGATACAATGAATGAGAGGAGTACGTAAAGCAAGTTGAAAGACGCCGGCACGGAAGTTATGACAGTGAAAGAGCGTTGGATGTGAACGGGAAAGCGAATTGAAGAAGGACAGAGGGGAGAGTGGAGGAGGACCGACAGACAACAAAGTAACACGGTAAGTTAACCACGAAGAAGCGAGTATGAGTGCGTGCTGGTTATTGGTTATTAGTTCGTTTTATGGAGCTGTTAATATGCTAACTTCTTTCAAACGCTACTGCTTTTCAAACGTCTTCAAGTGACTTTTTGCTGACTGGGGTGATGTTGAAAGGCTTCTCTTCGCACACCTGTTTCAGGATAAAGTCTTGGCCATAGCTAGCCCCCCGAGTCCCTATCATAACGGGGTCACTGGTGGATTTAATACTTACGTGTAACGCCATTCAAACATCTGTGCAATTAAAGTAGAGTGTTTTGGAGTTTTTGTCCGCCTGCTGCTTAAAAGTTCACGCCGTGGACTGTAAAGATTTTAAAACGCGCAATATTTCAACGTGAGAATCTGTAGAAATGGTTATAGGGGTCCATAAATCTGCGTGACCCAAGGCGGTAGTAACAGCCAAAGGGGGATGTGAAGAGCTGCGGAGACCTATTGTAAGTAATTAAACAGTAACTTATTCACTCTGTTGTACTTTTGTCTCGAGTGTAAGCTGCTTTTGACTTGGTTTCATTTGGAAATGTCTGCAGTATAGTTAAAATCTTTTTTATTGTCTGTGGAATAGAATATTTAATTGTTTATTAGTAAAAAGTGTAGCCTAAACCTCCATATTTGCTCATGTTTAACATTGTGTAACTTAAAGCCTTAGTGTGTAACATTTTAGCCAAAAATTAACAGTTTTTTTTTTTTTTTTCATTTTGCTTTTGTTTATTGCACTGAGAAACTTGCGCCCTTACCTTGAGCGGACTTGCATCTCCACAAACTGACGTTTTCACACCGCTAGTTCGATTATTTGGTCCGCACCAGGCAATAAAATTGTTATTATGTAGCAAATACACTCCAGTGTGGTCCGCGTTCACACCGGCAAACGAACCAAAACTGGTTCGATTTCACGTGTCTCTGTTTCCCCGGTAAAACAGCGATACTCCAGTTATCAACACCGATGTTCCTGTTAATACCACGGGCCGTCCTCATCTCAAATTATCACCATGAACTCATAAAACAGCAACATGTAGAACTTTGTACAAACTCACCGCATCAGCCCAGAGTTCAGGTAACAGCAGCAGCCAACAGTGCTCAAAGTAGCGCGCAGCTCCTCAGGACGGGGCTGGGGTCTGGTCCTTGGTCTTCTGTTACAAGCTCGTTGGTCAGATGGTCCGGAGGCTCCATCCTCCATGTGCTGGTTCCAAACGGTGGCGAGCAAGACCAGTGCGCAATGACTGGGTCTGAGCGGGTACGTTCTGTCGTCTGCGCGCTGTTTCTGTGCGGGAAAGCGAGAATGCGCTGTGGACTACAGGTCTGTGCGGGCTGCTACTGTCCTCCGCGCTCAAGAACCGCAGCTGGTTCCGAGGTGGTACAGCATCCGGACAGAAGCGTGAGTCCAGTTTGGTTTGTTATATGTTGTTCTGAGCGTCCGTCCTCCACGCATTTGGTTCTTCCCGGGGAAAGGGCTTCCTCAGGTCGAGGCTCCCCGCTCCAGCTCCTTTGAGCCCGGCCTGAACTGGACCTGCCCCCGCTGGTTCGGGACTCTGGTTTGGATCTAGTCCGACTGTATTTCTCACACTAGGCTAAAAACAGGGATTTTTAAAAGTTGTATCAATTGAATGGGCGATTGCCTATTGCCATAAAATTATTTGGTTAATTAAAGCCTAAAATAACAAATGTTGGTTGCTGCATGATCACGGGGAACACCGGGATTTCTCTGTGCGTGTAGGTCCCGAACAGGGGGTGCGCACCCCAGAATTTTCACTCTGGAGCCACACGTTCGCACGTACTTGCTCTGATCTTCGTGTATTACGTTCTCAGTAATGGCCATTGTTGGTAAAATAATTCGAAAATGAATCGCGGCTGCGTCTGGACAACAATCTGTTACTGCGCTGGAGTCTTACAGCGCGTCATTACAGGCAAAGGAGACGCGTGTCCCTCCCATGATGCATTTGGAATAGTCTGTTTGTCCATACTGTCTATGGTTTGGACCCGGGTTCGCGTTCACACCAGAGGAACCGCACCAAAGTTGGTCATTTGGTGCGGATTCAGATCACCTCTTTTTTGCGGTCTCGGTCCGCTTGATTTGGTTCGGGTCCGATTGACGCTTTCACACCAACGCAAACGAACCGAACTAACCACTTTTGATTCGAATGGATCGTTTGGTGCGCACCAAATACTGTCGGTGTGAAAACACCCGGTTCGTTTGCGTTGGTGTGAAAGCGTCAATCGGACTCGGACCCGAACCAAATCAAGCGGACCGAGACCGCAAAAAAGAGGTGGTCTCGGTTCGCTTGAATCCGCACCAAATTACCAACTTTGGTGCGGTTCCTCTGGTGTGAACGCGAACCCGGGTCCAAACCAGAGACAGTATGGACAAACGGACTATTCGAAATGCATCATGGGAGGGACACGCGTCTCCTCTGCCTGAAATGACGCGCTGTACGACTCCAGCGCAGTAACAGATTGTTGTCCAGACGCAGACGCGATTCATTTTCGAATCATTTTACCAACAATGGCCATTACTGAGAACGTAATACACGAAGATCAGAGCAAGTATCAGTGTGCGAACGTGTGGCTCCAGAGTGAGTCAAAATTGGGGGTGCGCACCCCTGCTCGGGACCTACACGCACAGAGAAGTCCCGGTGTTCCCCGTGATCACACAGCAACCAACATTTGTTATTTTAGGATTTAATTAACCAAATAATTTTATGGCAATAGGCAATCGCCCATTCAATTGATACAACTTAAAAAGTCCCTGCTTTTAGCCTAGTGTGAGAAATACAGTCGGACTAGATCCAAACCAGAGTCCCGAACCAGCGGGGGCAGCTCCAGTTCAGGCCGGGCTCAGAGGAGCTGGAGCGGGGAGCCTCGACCTGAGGAAGCGCTTTCCCCGGGAAGAACCAAATGCGCGGAGGACGGACGCTCAGAACAACATGTAACAAACCAAACTGGACTCACGCTTCTGTCCGGATGCTGCACTACCTCGGAACCAGCTGCGGTTCTTGAGCGCGGAGGACAGGAGCAGCGCGCCGGACCTGTAGTCCACAGCGCATTCTCGCTTTCCCGCACAGAACCAGCGCGCAGACGACGGAACGTACCCGCTCAGACCCAGTCATTGCGCACTGGTCTTGCTCGCCACCGTTTGGAACCAGCACATGGAGGATGAAGCCTCCGGACCATCTGACCAACGAGCTTGTAACAGAAGACCAAGGACCAGACCCCAGCCCCGTCCTGAGGAGCTGCGCGCTACTTTGAGCGCTGTTGGCTGCTGCTGTTACCCGAACTCTGGGCTAATGCGGTGAGTTTGTACAAAGTTCTACATGTTGCTGTTTTATAATTTCATGGTGATAATTTGAGATGAGGACGGCCCGTGGTATTAACAGGAACATCGGTGTTGATAACTGGAGGTATCGGGGAAACAGAGACACGTGAATCGAACCAGTTTTGGTTCGTTTGCCGGTGTGAAAGCGGACCACACTGGAGTGTATTTGCTACATAATAACAATTTTATTGCCTGGTGCGGACCAAATAATCGAACTAGCGGTGTGAAAACGACCTTAATTGTCCTTGAGGAGGGCCCCCTTCTCCTTGTTTCCATGGAAATTTTGTTCCTTCGGCTGGAATATTCCACAGTATGGCTTAAATCATCTCCAAAATATGTTCCAAAGTATGATTTTAATTTTCTGTTTCCATGGAATCAGATAGATGGCATATCTCCATAAAGTTTTACACTATTCTTTGTTTATTACAAATTAATTCATCTTCTTCTGTTTTGTATGGCTTCTAATTGGGATGATTTGTAGAGCCCTGGTTCAGTCTTTCTGTTTTATTGCAAATTGATTTGGTAAAAGCTATATACCAGATGCCCTTCCTGGCATAACCCAAACTTGGAACGGCCACACGCAGTGACTTATTTGAATTATTGTGGTTTATAAAATGATGGTTTAGTTCCTCTTTAATGGTCCTCATGGTTGAGACAGTAACCAAGTGTTTACCCACCAGTTCAGAAGTTGGTAGTTCAATCGCAATCCCTTGCTGCTGCTGTACTGTTGTTGTGTTCTTGGGAAAGACAATTCACCCACATACACATAAGTCACATTAAAGGGCCCATATTACACTGTTTTCTGAATTCTATTCTAATGTAGTTTTCTCATCACAAACAGACCTGGAGTTGTGTTTTGTTTCATTCACACATATTTAACACACAAACCCTGCAGATTTAGGTTGAACTCTTCTGTCAAACTGAAAACACTCTGTTCCACCTTGTGATGTCATGTGGTAATACAGGAAATACGCCACTGTGGTTTTAAGCTCCACTGTGGATTTAAACTCCACACACCTTGCAAGAATCAATTGGATAATTTCAGATCTGGAACTGCCAATTTACTGAAGGTAAAAAGGGCTGTTCACTTGAGAACTACCACTTGATGACATCACAACAGAGCATTTTGAGCTTTGGCAATGCAGACAAACTAATAATAAAGAGTTACTCAAACATGTGTGAATGAAACAAAACACAACTCCAGGTCTGTTTTTGAGGAGGGAACATTAGAACATGACTATAAGCTCACAAGAGTTAATTTTGTGTGATATAGGACTTTTAAACTGTTACAGATAAGAGAGGGGATGACAGTTTTCAAGGTAATGTCAATTGGAGCCAGAAATGGTGGAGCCTATTTGGAACGCTTTTGTCACACCTCCTTTTTAGTTGACCAGTCAATCGGAAGCACATGTCTTTATTCAACTACAGCTCTATTCTATCCATTATTCTAACCCCCCCCCCCCCCTCCTCCTCTGACACCACAGGCCATGGGCTGAAGGATAGTCTTTCGTGAAACCTGAGTGGTGGTTTCCATGGGGTCTTCTTCCTCTGCTGCTCCGAGTGCGTTGCTCAAAGTGCACAGGGTGGGGAGGGGCGTGTGTTTACACCTCCAGGCAGGAATGTGCAGGAAAGAGGATGGTCAGTCTGTTCCTGGCTG